GATAGGTCGCGTTTATAATATGTTCTGTGTGTTATGTATAATATGTATAATCGTACGGCCCCGCTAATGGCTGTTACTAGAACATTACACGTCTATATACAGTTACCAGGAGCAACACAGCGTTAGTAGTCGTTATTAATATTAATTAATATGATTTTATTCAGGCCGTCGCACGCCCCACGTCGGCATCGCCGCGCCTTTAATAGCGTTCGCGCGTTGTCCGGCCGCGTGCACGAAGGGCTTTAAGGCTCAAGTCTATCTCGTTCGTCCTCTAACTCGCTTCGAACCGTTCGCCGATCGTTCCTAATCGTCTCCAGTCGTTCGCCGAGCAATTAAGTATTTGTATTTGTACAGCAGTTGAGTAGCAGTTGAGTGTTTTACACAAAATAGCGATCCTTTAAATTGTTCTCTGTAGAAGTACCGTTCAAAGGAACGGTTAACAGATTCACAAATGAAAAATGATGCGTCCGTTTCATCGATCAACGTCTTCGCGAACGAGAGATTAGGAACGAAACGAACGAACGAACGCCATAATCGTTGCACATCGAACCTAAATAACGGCGAAACAATTGTTTACCGCTTCGTGCTTGCTTGGACCAATGGCCGCATGACTGTTCGCCGACACGTCTCGTTTGTTCCGTAGCCCTCGACTCGGGGAGTCGACGAACTGCAGTGGTCGCGGGATAACTTTAATCGTTGTTTACGTGGCAAACAGGTCGTACAATACATTTAACTTTAGGCCTGATGTATCGAACATGGCGTTGCTCGGTCTACCACCGTTTTGCTTACAGTTAGATACTGGGCAGCTTAACTGACGAACGTAAGTTCCGAGTGACTTAGTCGCACCCTAAAACGATCTGGGAAAGCTAACACGAAGAAGGTGTACGCTACCCCTTCTTATTGGTTTTAGTTCACTGGTAACGAGTGGACTGCGAGCATCTATGAAAATTTCCATCGTCGTCATCTGTTTCGAATCGATCCAAAAAGTGAAACGAACGGAAAGAAGTAGTTGAAACCGCAAAGAAAAGCCGAATCGATTGAGTATAAAGAGCAATGATCACTCGTACGTGTTTGAAGATTTTAACACAAACGTTCGCAGTCGGGTGGTAACGAATGAATAAAGTGTGGCGAACGACAGCCACGCGAGCTAAACGAAATACCGTGCAGCCTGAACGATCGATTCGCGATCAATAGGAGTCTCCTTTCACAAATAAATTCCGTTTACGTTATTGCACATTGAACAAACGATTACTGATGAACCCCCGAATGCATTGTTACACACACGCCTCCCGTACACTTCGTTTGCTTCCGGTGAAGGAGTTTTGGTTATAATATCTATAATTCACTCGAGTACATCACCGTTATACATACACGTATATATACACGTATATATACTCGTGCTCTCTCTCTCTTCTTTTATATATATAAATATATTATATATAATATATATAAATATATAATATATATAATATACATATCATATATATATACTTTTACTCATTTATTTAGTTCATCCATTTATTATAATTATTTAGTGATTTCTTTCTTCTCCTCCTTCTGCCATTTATAAATACATATATATATATAATTATATATATATATATTTATATATTTATATGTTTCTCTCATTAGTGCCTACTTATTGTTAATCAAGGAGGAATGTAGTCGTAGTGGTCGCGTTTGGTTGAGCGAGATAAAGAATCGTTCGAGCGAGCCGGCACGTTCATCGTCCGGTGTACAACTAATAATTGAACAGGAGACCTAATCGGCATGGTGAACGGTCAGACGTGTCTGCGATCTGAACACTTCGTTTCCATCCATTCCATTTCGATCGTCCCGTCACGGATTCAATTCGATCGTCGATGCCTATCTACAAAAAATCATTCGTTATCGTTGTATTACTTATTCGCTTCGAATCGACGTCCTCCGTGAACCTAACCTCAATCTTGAGCGAATAAACTCCTATTGCTTTAACCGAACACTTGACTCTCTTAGCGATAATTATACTCTATAAATAATCGTGTCGTACGTCGTCGTTAACAAAATAATTCGTGGTTACACGCGCGACAATCGTCCGCGCGCGGTGAAATTTAACCTAGTCCCGACTTCGATCTTGGCTAAATTCAAAATGGCGCGTGCCGATCCTATTTCAACCGTCGACCGTTCGAATGGATTTCCAACGAAACGAGCGTGATTCTCGAGGCGTAGATATATAACGGTTCATCAGACACGTCCGATGCTCGTCATGCAAAGTGTCCAAGGGCCAAGGCCTTGTAAGCCGCGGTGGCACAGGTTTTTGCGCGTTCGATGATCAACTCGACACCCTGGATCAGGCATAGACCAGGCCAGCGGCGTCCGGAACCAGAGAAACTGAACCAATACGATCGCCTGTGCTCGTTCACCTACGGAACCATGGATTTCTCACGACGCAATCCGATCAGTACCCTAAATGATCCTTAACTTTACTTTCAAGCGTAGACTATATTTCGCCAGGAAAAAACACGAGCTATAATTGATTGTGTATAGCCTTTTCCGATAGAGATTACCGGGAGCGTCTCAATTCTATATTGTCACGAGATATGATCATCGATAATTACAATAATTTTTCCTTTCTCATTAAGTCGTTAGTCGTCGCCGCCGTTCGATTCGCAATACTCAACATCGATAGAGGGGGTTTTTTTCTCCGTTTTCCGGATCACCCACTTTTTCGAATGTACATTATGTATATATATACATACATTACATGTACATTATGTACATATACATACATATATATATAAATAATATACATTTTGGTTCATATATATATATATATTCGTATATATTATAGTATATTACGGAACTCTCCTATGTTAAATAACCTCTGTTCTTCTCGTTGGGATATTCAATTCCTTACGATAATTATACACCGCTGTCATCGTTGCGCCTCTCGCCGAACCGTTCGGTAGTACGGATTTAGAACGAGGCTTCACCGTAGCGGAACATCGAACAATTTTATATACTTTATAAGGCCCAAATATTGTGCGCTACCTGTTCAATGAAACACGCCGAAACAAGGAGTCCGGGGCGGCGAGGGAGGGGGGGCGAAGAATTCGCGGCGAAGCGCGCTCCTTTCGCTCAGTTCGCGAAAGAGGACGCGCCTCTGTCGGGCTCAGTTTCTCGATTCTCCGCGGCCGTCCGGCTGCCTGTTTCCGCCCGAGGTCGTGACTGTTACGCGAGAACTCGATCCGACACGCGTCAGCCGCGCGAAGGACCTCGATCTCGATCGGTGCCGACGACGCGCAGGGCTTTCCCCAATCAAGAGAACAGCGAAACAGAGAAACGAGGAAGAGAAAAGAAGGAAAGAAAGTCCGTGCGCGCTGTTCGATATCCTATCCGCCTCTGGTTCACTCAGACGGAAGAGGAACATGTCGGCGGCGGCTTGGCGGGCTCGTTTTTGGCACCAGATACTCCGCTAACGGTGATCGAGAACGATCGCCGATCACCGCAGCCCACCGCGCCGAGCGTCCCGATAGGGGACTGGCCGATCCTCCTCGAATCTGAACGGTCGCGACGCTCTCTTTCGCCGAACACCGTCCCCATATCCGAAACAGCGACTCTAAAACGGACTAGAAGTTGAGGCCCGGCTCACACCGATCGTCCTCCGAGGACCGTTCACCCCAGCACCACCACCGCGTCGTGTCACCACTGTCAGCCCGGCCGGCGCGGGCGATAGACCCCCGGTGAAAGTGTCCCTCCTGTGAACGCGGCGCTAAACCATGGAAGTTGGAGCTGTGTCGAGGACCACGCGACGAGCCGACAGAAAGGAGTGTCCTCTTCCAGCCTGGAACCTTTCTCCGACAGGAGCCTCGCCGTTGGACGTGCCTTCCCCTGGCCGGCTGGCTTCGCTCCTCTAGTCCCCTTCGCCCTCAACGCGCGGCCGCCCGGATCGGACCGGGCGAGGCTGGCCAATCTGGAGAACGCGTCTCCGCTCGCTAACGTATCATCCGGCTATACCCCGTGTAGCATCTACACCCCCTGGAATGCCTTGCCAATGCTGATTGCTGTCTCTTCTAGCTGTCCGCGGCTACGCGGGGCTCAAGTGGCGCTGTCCCGCGCCACTGGCTCGGCGCTGTCGCCGCTCCTGCGTCGCCGGCCGGCCGCCGGCTGACGGTACTCGTTGCGCACGATGCCGTCGGCGGCCGTGCTCGACGATCCCTCGTCCTCCGAGTCCAGCTCCGTCGGAGGCAGCATCGCGAGCGGGGGCGAGGAGGACGGGGACGAAGGAGAAGAAGAAGACGAGGAGACGTTGTTCCGGTGAGCTGCCGCGAGGCTGCCAGCTGGCTTGCCGCGCTGCCGGCGCGACGGCAGCTCGGGCTTGGCTTCTTGATGCTTGACAGGCAGCTTGGTTGTCGTCGACGCCGACGCCGGCGACGACGCCGCGGTGGTCGCGCGCTGGGGCTGCGTCGGCGACGTCGACGCGGCTCCGGCGACCACCTGGTACCTGGCTGTGGCCGTGGCGACCGGTTGCTGCTGTTGCTGCGCCCGGGCGCGTCGGTCGTCTCTCTGCTGCAGCTGCTGGGGCTTCGGCTGGACCGCGGTTTGCAGTGTCCAGTGGACTTTTCTGGCCGGACTGGGACCGCCGCCGGTGACGGCGGACGAGGAAGAAGACGAGGGCGACAGAAGGTAGGCGCCGGCGAGCGTCGCGCCGCCGCCGGTAGGAGCGGTAACCGCTGGTACAGCTGCTTCCGGTGCACCGTCTGCCAACGGTAGCCCCGCAGGGCCCGGTAGACCGCGTACGACAGGCTCAGGAACAACGACTGGAGGACGTTGCTGCTCGTTGTCGCCCAGATCGCCAGCGCAGCCGTAATCGTAGCTGCAGCATAGCTGCCCGTCCTACGGAGAGTTTCGTTGGACACTGGGTTAGCGGACATGGACGCGGATCACCGTTCTTTCGTTCGTCTTTCGCGTTCGCTTCCTTCTCCGGCACCGCGAAAAGTCTTGGGACACTGCGCCTCCTTCATGCTGTCGCGTGTTGTTGCGAATTGTTCGGGATCTGTGATTGGGGATCGGTTCAGGTGCGCGTGTGTCCAGGCGTGCCCCGGCTTTCGCGGATAGAACTGTTCTTGGCTAGCCACGTGAGACGGAAGGCGTGGCTTGCTTGACAAAGTATCGTCTAGTTGCGATTTGCTCTTGTTATTTACTAAAACAGAGTAGATTGATCCTGGGGGAAATGGAAGGAAGAGGTTAGAGGATGGTCTGTAGAGATGGAAGCAAAGCAGGAGAAACTGTAGGTGACGCGAGGAGGATGTCCACTCTGCTCTATTAGATAACAGCGCGAACGTTGGACATGCCTGGTGTATTCAAGTGGGAGCTGTGTAACTACATCGTGTAATCCCGGAATGTCCTGTCATCGGAATCATTTAGCGTAGCGTTCAACGAGGAAGCTTCTATTCAAGAATTTGGAAGATAAACATGGTATACTCGTCCCGGAGCTAAAAGTGGTCAAGTGATGATAGCGTGTGTGCCTGTATATCCCTGAACGATCAAAGTTCCGCGAAGGATTTGAGAGGAAGAAGCTGTGCCATCTAAGTCGTTTCGGGTGGCCGCCATGTTGGACACGCGGTGTCGCTAGTCCAAGACTTTTCGCATCGCGGAAGGGAGACTAGGTAATCCTCCACATAATATGCAATTCATTGTTTCGTTCGGCGGCTCGGTAATCCCGGTGCGGAGAATTCGATGCGAATGATCCCTGCTATCACGTGCGTACATCCTCTCGTGATGTCTGCGCCCGGCCCGGACACTGGCGTTCTCACCCACCGGACTAGCGGCGCGTCACTTGGGCAAATTGTTTGCTTCACGATCACAGTTTACAATAATTCTTAACGACAATCATGCTTACAGTTGGGGGGACAAAACAATGAATTTCCATAGTATGTATCTGACACCTGACGACAACGTGTCTAGGCACTACTTTCGCAGCGGTTCCGGCAAGGTAGTCTCGACGCGGCAAGGAAGCTTCTACGGAATTCTACTTGGCCAGACGTTTCGACAATTCTCAAGTTACGATTCTTTACCAGAAATTATCACAAGCCCCGAGCGATCAGGATCTCAAATTGTCTAGGCCTTATAGATTGCAGAGGAGTCTACGTTCTTTCATCTTCATCGAAATGATTCAGTTACAGTTTCATGCTCGGTGGAACCGTTGGATTGTTCGTTTATACCCATAATTTTCCACTATCTGTAAATAGAAGTTTTACAGACTGTTCATCCTTGCCGGAATCGTTGCTGGACAACACTCGATAGAGAGAGACAGAGAAAGAGACTCTTGGTGCTTCTATCGAATCTCGAATGCAGATCAGAGGAGGGTGCAAAAGAGGCTCAAGTGTAACCAAAAACATAATCAACAAAATAAACAAAGTAAACGAATCAAAATGCAGTCTGTGTGTTCCTTTCCTGAACTTTTTCCCATTGTGTGTGTGTCTGTCACCACGTGCGCCGTGCGCCCCCCGCGACCGATGCCAAACAAATAAAAAAAGAAAGAACCGGCCAGCGGTGATCTGTATAAACTGCGTACGACAGTGCGCCCCAAAGTGTGTGCGAGTTCTTTTGATTCCTTTCGTGAGAGAATCGAGTCGAGTGAGTCGTTAGTATTTTTCTTTTTTCTTTTTAGTCAGTGAGAGTGTGGGGTGAGTCGGCGCATGCGAGAGTTTTATAAACGTGCACTCGTCAGCCATTTTACCAGAGGACCCATACGTTTCTTGATCGATCGATCGATCAGCTCGCGCGACTACTTAAAATTTCTGAACGCTTTGCAAAGAAGAAACTACCGTTCCGACTGAAATGAAACGGATCGTCGAAAGCAGCTGCCATCTCGATTTCACTGGAATTCCAATAACACTCGCGGAAGGTTTCAAGTAAATCTTAATCACGGATCTCAATCCCGAATTTCTTGATATTCATTAAGGAAATCGTACGATTGGAAAATAAATAATTCATACCGAATGTTCAGAAAAATCGATGCGTCGATCAAGAACATCCCTGACAAGATGTCAATGTGTGAAACATGCGACGTGCTCGCGATTCACCCTCATAGTTGAGAAACTCTTGACGCTCCGTTAAGTATAATCTACGCCACGTGTGTCTCATTAAATCCTTCAAACTCTAGCGATATCGTTTACCAAAGTATAACAAACGTTAATATTATCAGTGATCAGTGCAAGAGAATTTATGTAAAAAATTCCAAGGGGAACTCGAAAGTTTACCGAATGACATTGAACAATTGAGAGTCTCGCTAACACGTGACACAGATCTCTGTATACAACGCAGCCCAAGAGAACGTTAAGAGGAAGCCTGGTGACCAGCGTGCGGCGATCATACGAACGAGAAGACCACTAACAGGGGACACGCGGATCTCTATAATCATCTAAAGTCAAATGAAAAGAAGATAGAACGGAAAGATACAAGCAGTGGAGTGTGGGAGTGGGTCCGATACCAGTACTAAACAGCTACCCAAGCAGGCGGGAGTAGAAACGGAAGCACTCGAGCCCGAGAGATCAGTCGTGGACAATCAAACGATACGTATCGACAAAGAAAACACATTAATAAGAGAAACGAAACAGACAATAAGAACAAACAGAAAGAGAAGAAAAGAAGAATAGGCGGGTAGAGATTATAGGTGAGGTAGAAGTGACGTGATTACCGATGCACACAACACGCGCTATTGCTCACCAATTGGGCGCAGTACGGCACCTGCAAGGATACCCATCGTTAGGCTATCAGGTTAGTCGTCACGGGCAATGTGGCGGGGTTAAAATTTCACATGGTTAACGATTATAGCATTCGCTGCACTGTTTTCGTGTTATTTAGCGTTGCTCAGCACATCAGCCCACCCATCCACGTCCATCCGTTCACTAAACCTGAAGAATCGTTCGTTACGAGCATCTCATTGATCATTTTTCATCGTTTCTCCATTGGACTACTATGAGTTTGAAATGTTTTTGCTGGCGAGATCGTGAAACTTCGGAATTTTCCGTGAAACTCGAAGCATTTGTGAACGGATCGACGAGGTTCAGGTATTGTTACACGGTCTTTCGCAACGAGGTCGGGTCCGCTTTAGATTAATCGTTGTCAGGCGATATATACTGAACACGATCCATGCAGGGCCGACCCGAAGCAGTGAGATTTATCGTTACTCTAAGCCTTTATACCGTCGAGATTCGTTGAAAACGGTCTAGTTCCGCATTTAAACGACTGTTCCGTGGTATCGCGGCAGTGTTCGTTCGTGTTTCCGAAGTTGAATCGTTCGGGAGCTCAAAGATATCGGCTTGAATTGGTTCTCATCGAGTCAGAGACTGTGAATGGACGCTAATGACTGTTCTAACGTTGGTACCGTATTACCTAGTCAATCTACTTAGCGCCTGGTCACATACAGTGAGCAAGGATCGAACGGAAAAAGTGTATTACGGTCGACAAATGGATCGTCACTACGAAACATAATCAAAACGATCGACTCTCTGTTGCTACGTCCGCGCGGAGAAAGAATGGCGTTACACTTCGAACATGCATAAGTAAATGTATAGTAAACGGTGTCAAATACCGAGCCACCTCGTCTTTCATTATCGTCGGCGGAAGACTAACAGTTACTTAAATGAACACTGCCGCGTGCAAGGCAGCCAACGAAAAGTGTACACATATCTAATTCAAGGCTAGCTTAGGGACGCCCCTGAACGTGTCTCGGACGCTTGGTGTTAACGTAAGAGATCTTTGGAGTAATTTACAAGTGGTGGATACAGCTTAAGGTCGCATAATGACAAGACTAGCGCGTGTAGCTAACGCCGAGAGAAGATGCTTCTAGACAATTGGCTCGGAAAACCCGTGCGATGGGACTAGAATTATTTACTTAGACTCGAACGTTTAGCGACTTAGCGTCTTTCGGATTCAAATGTCTCGATCAAACTACCACGTCTGCAATCAGTGTTCCTCTAAACTAGAATTAAGCCTGAGCCTGTATATTAAGATAAAGATCGATGATTAGACAGGTGATTCTAGTGAGGTTTAAAATGATTCGGAAGTGATTCGATGTGATCCAAGTGATTCTAACAGTGAATTTTCAGTTTTATTCGGTTAGAAATTATGGTGAATGGACATCTCGCGACTGTATGGAATTTCTCTCAGCGTGTCAGAGATCAAGATTATAGCGCATAGCTTTGCACAGTTGACTCGAGTTGTACACACCGCAGAAATGAATGGCATACTAGAAACAAAGTACAATCAGTATATAGGTACCTTGTATCATACGAGGGTTACCTACTGACACGGAAAATTAAATAAGAACGACAAAAATAGATGGACAGACAGAGAGAAAGATAGAGAAGAGAAAAAAAAGGTTATTTATATATATATATATTTTTTTATGATAGTGTGTGTGACTTGATTTATACACGTGGCAGACAGGGAAATGTTAATTTTATAATCATTCATAAAATATTCAACGCCTTTCAGATGAAGAAACTTTCTACGATCCGAAAATGTTATCTGATATTCAAGTCTACTTAAAGAGAAAATGAATATTAAACAGAATCGCATGCTTGAATATTTTATCAGCGGTTTTCTTTAAATAAATTAGTTCACATACACGGTCACGGTACATTTAAAAAAAAGCACAGACATCAGTACTTTCTCTCGACTGTTCTATGATTTGAATTATAGTTGATCTTTTATGTTCACTTCGAAACATGTATACACACTGAATGAACGAAAACACATGCACCGAGAAAACGAGAAGCGATATCGACACTTGTAGTTAATCATAAGGAAAGCATGTAGCGAGAGAGAACTTGAAAGAAAATTAGAGAGGACAAGAGAGAATGTTAATACAAAGTTAATCTGCCACGTGTACAGTGTATATCATAGAATGTTTCCTTTCGGATGGAGGTCTGCCGCACAGCAACTGGTCGTGTTTCGACATAATTAATACTGAACGCAACTGATTAGACACATGACAGATCCACGTCTAACTTAAAGCGACATTTACGTTTCATTTACTGACCTTGAGCTCTTGACTTCGCGCGAAAAGAGGGCGGGGTTGAGGAAAACGCTGGTCAAGATGTTTTCTAGATCGCCATTGTCCTTTGACGATCACACTATAGGCGATACTAATGACTTTCTCATCACTAAATGAATGGGGGAGGATCTTAAGGGCGAATTGATATGGTAAGCCGTTGGAAACTCTAAGCGACACCTAACCGAAGCATCATGGAAGGTGTTTAGTTGATACTGGGGCCGCTAGATGGAGCGTACGAACTGTCATGGCGCCGCCCATTGAGGACTAGTCGGTAGCCCAAACCTTACGCTATCCGCAGGTGATTGATCGGTAAATAAATAAAATAAGAAATCATCCAGACCATCAATTTTCCTCAATTACTCGCCTCTCTTCTCCCACGAACCCCCCTATCCTATCCTGCGGGCCTTGTACGGATAAAGGACCGACGATATCTTCGGTCCTTCGTTGTGTTCGTGGCCGGACATCTTCCTTACCTTGCACTCGCACGTGGTGCATTTGTCATGGGGGTCCTGCCAGGAGCTGCCACTGTCGTGTATGATCCCGGAGTAGCTGCAGGGCCTAGGTCGTGTCAGGATTGACAGGGTGGTGCCATTCCCGGGCGGTTCTCTCGCGCAAGGATCGTCCTCGCAACGCGGACAACAGTCACCGTCCTCGGTGACGGGGTTAGAACAGGTCACTGGTGGACATTCCATTTGCCAACAGTCTATTTCGCCGTACTGTGAACAATTCAACCGTTACATCTCTTTCCTGTCTTTTTGATAAGCGCGTCTTCTTGCTGTAGACGTTTCTACGAGTGACAATAACAGGTAGTCGGCAAGTATCCTGCGTTAGTTAAAGTCATTACCAGGCATTCGCAGGTCTGGCATTGGTATATCCATCGTTCACCGCTTCTGAAGACCAAATGATGAAGCTCCTGATGCCTGCAGGAAGCTGCAGGATCGCACTGCGGACAGCACTTGTCCCTGCGGCTCCCCGGGGCACTGCAGTCGCAGATAGGATCTCTGCAGGTGATCACGCCATCTTTGCACATGCACCTTCTGCAAGGGTTCCCAGCTGGCGCTAGGGTCTCGCCGTTCTCCACTTCTCTGCCTTCGAACCAACAGCCTGGACAGGTTGACGAATCAATTTAGGGGATAGGTTCTATAAGATTTTTATGATTCTTCGACTAATGATCAATCGCTGACACTTACTGAGCCTACATTCCTCCGAAGTGTGATTGTCCTCCTGAGGCGGACAGATACACTCGTACCCTCCTTCGGTGTTGACGCACTTCGCGCTAGGATGGCAGGTGTGCCTCCTCTCGATCGTTTGATCGTTGCACTCGTCGATGTCTAGGCATTGAGTGCCCTGGGTGCTGTCGTGAAGGGCGCTTCTGTAGCCGGGCTTGCAGCGACAGTAGTACCAGCCAGGCATGTTGAAACAGGTTGAGGATTGGTGACACCTGTGGAGGTCGCTGGCACACTCGTCCAAGTCGAGCTCGCAACTGTTACCGATGTAACCGCGACGACAGGAACACCTTCCAGGTGCCACGCACTCGCCGCCATTCTGGCAGGTCTGATTGCAAACAGCTGAACCATGAAAACAATGAAATCTGTTAGTGCTAAACATCCTGTTATTGAGTCCTTCATAGCTATAATCTCAGATTTGAAGGTGTTTGAGAAGGTTTTACGGTGTTTGAAGCTTAAGACACAGGATCGAACAAACTAAGAGGAAACTAGGATACTGTACGTTTGCAGGTATATCCGTCGCCAGTGTATCCCTCCTTGCAAACACAATAATAGCTGCCCGCGGTGTTGACACACGTGGCGTGTTCGTCGCAAGCGTGATGGCCGGTCGCGCACTCGTCGAGCTCGGCGCAGTTGAATTTGTCGACTCTGTGGTAACCCGGAAGACACTCGCACGTATATGAGCCGATCACGTTCACACACTTCGTGTTGGCGTTGCAGTGGTGGCCCTCGGAGCCACCTTGCTGTTTGCACTCGTCCACGTCTGCGGTGGCAACAAACAACCCGGTTAGACCGATCGATCGGCTGGCCCGATTCCCGATGATTGCGGTTACAAACGTGTAACGGTCGTCTAGAGATTATCATCGAATCACGGGTTATCGCGATTCTGTAACTGCAATCATTCATCGACGACCGGCAATGAGAATATTCCTCGACGCGGACAGTAAAGAACCGTGGCGCGCATGTATACGTAAAACACATGGCACGGTCACGTTCACCACGTGTTAACACATCGTCTTTTAAATATTTCACGCGCGGTCGGATCGATCGGAAATTGCACGTGGCCGGGTAAGGAATTTCCCATCGACCCGGCGCGCGATGCTCGCGCTTCCAGCAGGACAACGAAGGTTAATACCGAGTTAAGTTTAGGAGAAAGCATTTAGGTACCGTGACAGTTATGACCATCCCCTTGGAAACCGATATCGCAGTGGCAGGCGTAGGTGGTCTGAAGATTCAGGCAGGACGCGTTCGCGTGACACTTGTGGCCCTTCGCGCAGTAGTCCACCCCTGGTTAAATTTGGTTAGCCGGGCAGATGAACAGGCGGTTAGAAAACATTCGATTAGCGTACTCAGCTTGGTTTTAGTCGGGTCTGGCCGGGCTTGCTCGGGGAATCGTTCACAGTTCGTTTCTCATTAATCTGGCATGCTATACGTTCATTGTATCCGATCGTTTGGCACGCTTTTCGCGGCTATGTACAAGCGAATCGAACGAGTTATTGAAATACTAGAATCAAGAACAAGAAAGAAACATGCATCGCTTCTTCTTTTCCTTTTCTTTTTGTCATTTATATTCCGTTGACTTGCACGTTGCCTGCAATAGCTGTGAAGAACAGCCCTTGGCGACGAGTTCCACGCGAGAGACTCGTCGTCAAAGTTTGCCGCATGCTTTGGTTAATGAATCACAATGATGATTAATGAGTCACGAGAATCATGCGAGACACTGCAATGAGATTTGGTTAATGTGAACTAGCGAGAGGGCGATGAGTATTAAGTTCTCAGCGATTAATCCGAATCAATGGTGTATATCAATGGTTGTGTTCAGCGGTTGAGACGTACCTGGACAAAATTTGCAACATTCCTCCGCCACGCTTATTTGTTCGCTCGGCGGGCAAGGCAGTGGTGGACATCTGGTTTCCGTGTCGAACCTCTGGCAGGTGAAACTCCCGTCGAAACAGTCGCACTCGACGCAATGTTTCGGCGAGACTTTCTCGCCGTGATCATAGATCACGCCGCGCAAGTAGCATTGCTCTACGCAGGAACGCATCGCGGACAATTAGGCATTCAACGGTCGGGGTTCAGCGAAGTTAATTAACTTATAGGAAACGTCGTTGACGGAGGATCTTACTCAAGCAAATGGGACAGCATTGTCCCTGAGGAATGACGGGATGCTTGCAGGTGACAGGGGCGCAGGGCGTCGGCCTGCAGGCGATCTCACCGTGGACGCAAGAACACTGCTGGCAGCCCTTCTCCCAGGTCGCGCCGTCTTCATGGACGGTCCCGTTCGCCCTGCACGACTTTTGGCACTCGCACTCCTCCACTTTGCTTATTCTGCCCTCTGCAGCTGCTAGCTAAAAGGAAGGATGTCAATGAGCCGCCGTGTCGATTCGCATTTCCATCCGCCGTCAGCCGAGTCTCTAGGCCGATTTTAATCGAGCTCCACTCACCCTACGCGTCAGCTCGTTCAGGTTATGCATCAGCTGCTCCACTGTGTTTTGTAATATAGAAAATTGACCGCAAGTGGGACAGGACGAGTCGAGCTGCGGACACTGCGAGAGATAGCCGTGGGGACCGGGGATCAGCTTCACGTCTTGCAAAGCACCCTGGTGGAAGAAAAATCACAGAAACTTGTCTCAGTCGATACGATGAAACGACGAAAGAATATGATATTACTGTCGACTCGGTTACATTTAAACTTCATCGGACAATTAATCTGTACCTTGAACAGAAAGTGCCTGGCGTTTCTTTGTCCCACCCATAGCTGAAGCTGCGGCAGGGTGAAATTGGTGTCCGGTGGTCCAGGCCTGAGCAGCCGCCTGTACAAGGGATGACAGTCGACGAGCAGCTCGACCTGCGAGCCGCTTACGCTCAGGGCGACCCTATGCCAGGCGCCGTCGGCCAAACGGAAAGGAAACGCCTCCACGTGGACAGTACCGTCTCGGCGTGATACGTAGTGAAGTCGAAGCTCGTCTTTACGACCGCTGCTCTGCAGCTCCAAATATCTGTCGGGCATGAAAACACATTGTCATCGATCGATTCTTGAACCTAGTGATTTTACACAATGCACGGTGAAGCCTTCGAGTTCAGCTACTCAAGGTCAATGGTCCCATTAAAGAAGCCACGCCCACTTCCCCGCCTCGCGATGCTTCGCCCAACCTCCTGTCGCTCGTGACAGGCGAGCGGCGCGAGGTAGGGGCTCAGTGGGCGTGGCGTCCGAGGCAAGTCCCAATAAGATTAAAACAGGCGTGGCTTCCGACGTCTCGTTTGATAGAAACTTCAAACGGATTCCGTAAGCACTGGAATCCGTTGACATTTTTCGATGAAACGACCAGATGTAGTCCAAGCTGAGCCTCTTTTAATTGAAACACGCGAAGGGAACGAATGGTAGACACAATTGAATCAAGGATTGCGTGTGTATGATTTCCGCTTATCATCGATTGAAGCCTCCGACCCCTGTTAATCAGCGACATTGAAGCATTGCTCTGGAATTCGTTTCACCAGCCAAAACGCGAAAGGTCAATCGATCCCCCGAGAAAATTTACCGAACGGATCCCGCGAATCCCTCGTGTTTGGGAACCACCCAAAAACCAGTCCTACGGGATCCGGACCGCAAGGCCGAATCAACATTAAGCCGCCGCTTGATCCAGTCGCGATTTCTGCTCCGCGGAGCGTGTTGATTACCGTCTAAAGCCGCGGACACGTAGCTGCCGTGCATCCAATTTGTGTCAGCCGGGTCAAAACGACTAGACTGCACACCTCACGTGCCAACAGAGGCCGCGACTACTTTCAGGTTAAGTGCTCTTCCACGTCCCGGCTCAACAATTGACACAGTAACTTCCTTAAGACTGGCTTTTCTACCATTTTCAGCTCGCTGCCCGATCGCAACGAGAACGCAGCGAGCACTCCCCCTCTGAATAACAGGAAGTGCTCGGGCGCTACTGATAGCAGTTGCAATTGACATTGACCTGAGCTTCTTCAACCCTCGATTTCCATCGTGCCTCCACCAGAAGAGACGTAGAGAATTCCAACGATTGCAAAGTTTAAATTCAATACTTCGTGCAGACAAATCTATGTACAAAGTTCTTGAAGTTCAACCAGTATCAATCTTTAATTCTTCACTCGGTTCTATCTTGCGAAAACTTCTAATCGTCAGTGATAATCACTCGAGTTACAGCGAGTGCCAATAGTATTCAAAGGAGACAGAGGCTCGGTTCAAGGGCTGATATTCTAATGAAAGGTGAATGGCGTGAAGTTCAGCGAAAGAAACGATGTCACGCGTTGTTCGCGCGTTGCCGGGGCGCCAGCGCGTTATCCATGGAAATCGCTTTGAATTCCAGGCCTCGGGACCCGCGGCGAACGCGCGAACGAGGGGTCGGAGAATGAAATTACACGTCGTACCTATTGTTCCCATGTGAAAAGGCGACGATCGTCCCGGAATTGGCCTCCTCCTGTCGCAGAGCGGCGGCTATAGTGAATTCCGGAACCCGCCGGAGTAGTGTGGCCGCTCGTTCGAAGCTCGCCTCGTTCAGTCGGAGCTCCCTCTCCTCGCCTGCAGTAGTAAAACTCGATCATTTCTGCGTTCCGGTCGATCCTGCCGCGCTAATAATCATATTACGGCTAAACGCGAGGCACCGCGGATTGTTCCGCACGCTCGACGGCGAATTCCATCGATTACGGGCCGGGGTTGGAATGCTCGGGCTTTCGTTTACGATTCTGCTGGGAGAAAGCGAGCGCGAAACCACCGGGGTAGCCCGGCTGATTAATCATTAGCAGACTGTGCATATTTATCCCGATGGGAATGTATAAATGTAGACGCTGGATTATGAAACGGGGGAATCGGATTTGTAATTCGATTTTACATGTTTCGTTAATGACTGAGAGTAAGTGGATCGAGAAATGCTATGAATGGCGGTGTCGGTTTGCTAATTCAGTCACTTTCGGTAATTCATTTCATTTGGAAAATGAGATGAATTTTAATTGTGGATATCCCAAGGTACGATTCGGGATCTTAAGTCAGTTATGGATAGGTAAGACTCTCAATGGTAGAAACTTTGTTAGCGAAGTTTAATTATATCTCCCGGTTAAATCTGAGGAAGTTTGATCCTTTAAGAAATGTACTTCTCGAAGATTTCTATGCCAAATGGATTACGGGAATCCATCAACGAGGCTCGCCCGAAGCTAGGAACGGTGGTGAAGTGTAGAACGAAGTTCGGGAACGTTGCTCGCGGCTCGACGACGAAAGAGTCCGCCGATCTGGGTCAGCCGAAATTTTTCTCGGCTCGCATCGATTTCTACGATTCGCCCGTTCCCTTCGCCCCGGTTACGCAATCACGTTGACATGGAAATTCGATTGGCCGCGGTTGCCGGCTTGTTCGCGCGGATTCGATTCGATCAAACGAACCGAACCGAATTTTCACTACGCTGCTATTTGTTTCAGTTGACGGACTAAATTTTCGGGTTGAAATAATATCTCCTCGCGAATACTGATCGCGCGAGTAGACACGTAATACAGGATCTTCCTAAAGATACCTAGAATAATCCTACGATACATTTTACACCTGCTTCGAGTGCATTTCCATTCACTCAACCACGAGCATCGAAAAAGTCCACCCCCAATGCACGAAATTCCCGCGGTTCCTTCGAACATTCTACAACAAATCAAACTGTCTCTCTCAAAAGACATTTATAAACTAACAATCAGTGCAACAACTATTCAGAGTACCATCAAAATTGCATTTCACTCAAAGACAATGTTCATCGAAAAAGTCATCACCCCCAATGCACGAAATTCCCGCGGTTCCTTCGAACATTCTACAACAAATCAAACTGTCTCTCTCAAAAGACATTTATAAACTAACAATCAGTGCAACAACTATTCAGAGTACCATCAAACTTGCATTTCACCCAAAGACAATCTTCATCGAAGCTTTTTCAACAATGGATACTTTGCGCTTCGATTCCAACGTCCCATGAATATAAACACAATGCGTTTACAGAAAACTTATTTTTGAAATGAAAATCATTTAGTACAGCGGAGACTACTTAGCAACACCTTGGTAACCTTCAATTTTCCTCGTGCGAATAGTCGAATTCTAGGGTTTTGTCGACAGGCGGCCGCACTGTGCGGCGCGGCGCGCTCCGTAAACGTTCGCCACCCTCGCGCGCGCTTCCCCCATGCTTCCCGCCCGGCCGATCGGTATTAGAGGAAACGTGCAGCCAGGCTGAAAGCGTGGGCGACGACGACGGTGCAACGTCCGCGAAAAGCGAGCAGACCGCGCCACGCCACGCCACGCCACGCTACGCCACGCCACGCCACGCTATGCCACGGCGCATCGAGTCGGGTCGAGTCGAGGGATGCTCGGGCCAAGGGTGGCTCCGTCAGGAGGGCTTTCCCCGAAAGAAATTTCAATTACCGGGGACCACCCTTTGCCGTCTCTTCCCTCCCTTTGCACCCTCCGGCTTCGCGGAAGTAACTGAACGTTTCTCTGCGGTTTGCGCTACGCTCGAAACGAAGGGAACTGGCCCGTCTCATTGTTTCCCTTTCTCTCTTACGGTCGGTCTCTTCATATTTTTCTCTCTCCGGCTCTCTGCGCCCCTTCGCCACCCTAGTTTCGGTCCCCGCGGTCTGGCAATCGTTTGGTATTGTTCCAACGAACCGTTCCGTTGCCAGTTTTCTGGCAAACGGTGATGGCTTCCTTTCAACACCGATTCCACCAGCCCTTTCGCTACTTCCGGTGAGCTCGCGATTGCGAGGATGGAACTGTCGGGGAGGATGGACAGTTGATGGGAATGACGGTGTTTCTCTTCCGTTTCGAGCTATCTGGGAATTGTCGATTTGCCAGGGGATTTTGTCGAGAAGAGAGATGCTTTGAGGATAATCTGTTAACCTGTTAGTTTCTTATTAACGATCTGTCAGTCGGAAACTGATGAATATCTGTTTATTACAAATCTAAGTATTCTTTCTACATTGAAGATTAACCCTTTGAACTCTGTAGGCTCCGATATTGCACCAGTTATAATATTAAATATTTTAATAAATCCTAAAGAAACTACCCTAAAATTATTCGATTTTCCGCACATCCAAATTTTATACTAAGAAGGACAATAAAAGATCGAAGAAATGTTATATTTCTCATTTTCGCTAGGAATACTATAAAAATTAGTTGCAGTTGCTGATAGATTACAAAACAACCTGGAGTGCTGAGGGTTAACCCCTTTTCTACGTCAGAATTCTGCGTCAACGCGTATTTCTAAGTAATTGCATCGAAACCATCAAACACTGAATTGAACTAAGCGAAACCAATCTAGAACAATCACATTTGTATAATATACTAACGGAAGATGTAATTGTACAATCCACTTACGTCAGATCTAAGCGAGCTTCCTCATCGACAATAACATCTTACAGCCTATGGACAACGGAATCCAAATTTTCCAAGCGCCTCCCGACACCATCAATACCCAACGAGTTAACACTATGAATATACTATTCCTTTTGCTTAGAAACAACAACTGAAACTCTGAGAACGTGACTGTAAATAATTTACAGTCCCTGTCTCCCGACCCGAGCCGTCTACCGTTACTTCCCATTCAACTGTCGAATAATATTTCTCCAGATAGTCGATCAAGGAAGAGCGGGCTTTCCCCCAAAAAGGATCGGCCGATTCGCTCCGAATTGGTGGAGGCTACGTAAGGGAACCCATTGTGATCGGCGAACAAAGGACGCTGCCGATGGAGACGGACACGTGTCCGAGTTTTCTCTGAACATGGAAAACAAGATTTCGCGATCCCCCTTTTGTTGCCCAGCGGGGAACGCGCCCGCTGGTCCTGGAATTGGGTGACCCCTTGGGCTTCCCTTTCTGTAGGGTCGGCTGATTTAATCTCCGCGTTATTTATTTCTGAAACGGGCAACTCTCTCTCTCTCTCTCTCTCTTGCTGTCTCTTGTTCCCCACCTCTCCCCTTTCCCTTTGGCCGTCTTCGCAGATGCTAAATTAACGGGAGGGTAGCGTTGGCGGAACTCCTCTCCACGCCGGTGTTCGGCTAACGCTCGATTGCGAACGAAAGTTCTCGCTGCTCCCATTGATCTTCTGCCGGGCAACTTTCACTTTGAACTTCGCCCGCGGCTACCTTTGAATTATAGATCGTGGACATTTACACCGACTCCTGTTTTTGTTGACTCGCGAGAAAATATAGTTTCTTCCGGAACTACTACCCCGATGCTTATTATTCTTACTTATTAATGGGCTAGGCTTCCGCTTCGTGATAGTTAACCTTTCGCTTACTTCGAACTAATCACGATGGATATAAAGAGCCTTGTCTAAAATTAGGCACGGCGACGAAATTTTTGCAACGCGAGACCTTCGTTTCGTGTACCCCTTGATAAGACCTTCGGTCGAAGATTCGAATAATTCCTATAAATTAACCCTTGAAGATCTATTCACAAATCTACAGCGTAACATTCACGCAAGATTTCTATGAAAAGAACATTCGATAATCCCTTCATCCACCAATTAATCCTTTAGCTACTGTTACCCATAGGCACTTGCAAAATGTCATCCTGACATAAGTGTATATCAACAATCATCTTCCAGCAATCATATACTACATAAAATTATTTCATATTACTTTCATTTATTTCAATTCATTCTCACGGTACCGATACACTTCTTCCGAAATACCCATCAAATTCTACCATACCCAAAGGATTCGCCGAGCAGAACTATCGATTACCTCAAACTCTATCCCCTAATCCACAAGCAACTCTTCTCATAACCCCTCCCCGTCAACCGCGTAATTAGCAAACTAGAAAAACTCCGTTGGTACCATTCCAGAAGGAACGTACCGGTCAGCCTGACAGTCACCCGACACCCCCGCGGCAGCCGTTCCCATTACCACCTAACCGACTGTGAACCTTGGATGATTGATCAGACTCGGCCGGCGGTCGGTTCGATGGTCCGCGCGCGAGCGAGAGAAGGCGGCCGGTTTTATTGCAGGCCTTGCACAGGTGTCCGGTTACTTTATTAAGCTCGTGGCGTGTCTG